CATCTGCTAAATACATAAACATAAACATAAACAAAAACAAAGTAAAAAAGAAAGATTAGTCCTTATGTTTTAAACAGTTTATCAATATACTGAAAATGTTATTCTGGCAAGTGTAGCTAAAAACAGAAAAAAGTTTCTGCTGAGGAGGCGAACTGGTGCTAAACAGCTTGTCAGTCAGTTACTCTAACCCACATATGTCAGATGCGGCCCGCGGAGCATTTTTATGCGGCCCGCGAGATAAATATAAAAAATATATTAAAACTGGCCCGCTGGCCGATTTTACCGCAAAGACTTCAACTCCCATGATGCTTTGCGGCGTCAGCGCGGAGCCGACGCGCCCCCTCCTTTGTGTTTTTTCCAGCGTCTGCTGCCGGTGTCTGCAGCTCCGCTGTCTCGGACAAACTAAACACTCCTCTCACTCAGCGTCGAGTTTACTCAGCTATTTTCTGACGTTGAAGCCCAGAAACGGAGATTCTAGCCGCTCAGTAATGTGTTCACGACTGAAACAGGAAGTTTTCCAACTAACTTCCAGACAGAGCCGATATAACTCCAGGAACAGCGACACGCTCAAACCAGCACGGCTCTGTGGTTGTGTTTCCTCCCCGACACACAACAACGTGGTCAAGCTGCTCAGGCATGTTCATCAGCACAAACCTATGTGAGCACCTGTTGTCATCTAATGTTGTCATTATTATGATGAAGATGAACAAAACAACAGGAGTCTCCTCCTCAGCTCAGATCAACCCCATGATGCAGGTATCTGGCTGGAACAGGTGAGCATCACAGTAAACCAGTGGAGCAAACTGAGCTTTAAAGATGTTGGTTTGATGCTCTTTTTCTGCTCCAAAACATGAAAGTTAACAGGTGAGATGTTGCATTTTCATTTAAGATAAAATGATATTTTTATTTAGTTGTTGGCCCGTGAGAAAAGATTTAACCTACAGTAAACAGGAAGTGGAAAGGCTGCAGATAGATGAATAGAATAGAAAATCCCTTTATTGTTCCTCAGTGGGGAAAGCTAGACGTCACAGCAGCGATGACACGTATTACAGGAGAAAAAAGGAGAATAAAAAATAAGAAAAATTAATAAACAAGAAAACATAAATCCTGAATAGATTTTAAAAATGCTGATTATACCACAAGTAATGAATACCACTGATGCCTTTTATTTAAAACTGACTTGCTCGTGTGTAATTTGGTTATTCCACATTCAGTGTTAATGCAGAAATATGTTTGTTTCCAAATTTAAAGGTTCAAAATTGCATATATGTTGATAAAGAAAATGTGCAAATTTGCCGTCACGTTTTCAAAAAATATTAAGTTTGGCCCTCGACTCCGTCCCAGAGTTTCATTTCGGCCCCGTGTGAGTTTGACACCCCTGCTCTAACCACTGGGCTATCAAGTCTGCTACAAAACATCAGCCTCCTAACCTCTCAGCTGGCATTATATGTCATGGTCTGCGTCAGCCCCTTCCTTTTTTGTGCCTCCTGTTGTCCTCCATCCCTCTCTAGATTCCCTCTTGTGTCCCTTTGTTCCCCAGCTCCTCTTGTACTCCACTCCTGGTTCCCCCTTGTACTCTCTTAGCGCCCTCATGGGTCCTTGTCTGCATCCCTGTTATGTGTCTTATGTTGTAACCCTTTGGCGCCCTCTTGTGTCCTTTTTCTGCGTGTCAGTGTAGTGTCCTATGTTATCTTTTCTACCCTTTCCTCCCAGGTCAGCTCCAGCCTCGTTCTCACCAGCTCAATGTGTGTGGGTGTATGTGCTATGTCCTCCAGCTACTTTGTGTGAGTCCTTCCCTCTGTCTTTTGGTAATATTTGTTTAGTTTTGTGTTTAGGTATTAGCCCTCTGTTTTTGTTTTCCCCATTGAGTTGATTAGTGTCACCTGCCTTCCCTCCAGCCCTCACTCCACGCACCTGCTTCCTGTTTCCTTAATTTGTCTCCCAGTCTATTTAAGCCCGGTATTGTCTCTGTCTTGTGTCGGTCCATTAATGTATCTCTATGTTATTCGGTCAGTGTTTGTTCGTGCTCTTGATGAGCTTTGTTTCTCCAGCGTTGGAGTTCTGGACTTTAGGCTCGCTGCCTGGATTTACTTTTTCCTTCAAAAATAAAGGATTTTACTTTTCATCATCTCTGCCTCATGTCATCCTGGGTAACTGCATATTTGGGTCCTAACATCCTCAGAACGTGACATTATGTGCGTCTTTGTGGACAGGATGCATGGTTTTTACGGTGGTGTTTTGTCCCCAATGCAGAAGTAACTTGTAAGAACATCTATTCTGTTAATGGTGGAGGATTATTGCAGTCATCTGTGACATGAAGGTCACACTCTCAACTGCAGCATGAAATCAACGCTCTATACTCACAGCTAGGAGAAAGTGGGCATTAGTGACCTACTCCCAGGGCAGGCGGGTTTTGGATCTGAGAGGAGAAGAAAGGCCTGATGCAACATTTTTGCAGGCGTTTTCAAAAAATCTGAAAATTTGCAGCTGAGACAGGAAGATGCATGAATGCAGGCAAAAACAGGTTTGGGTGTATTTTTCACGAGAAATCAACAATATCACATGGCTAAATGTTTTAATTAAAATTTTTTCCATGATTTGGCCCTTTTAACGCAACAGGATTTGTATTCTTTATTCCTAATATGTGGACATCTTGCCTTAGTTGGGGCAGCAGTAGCTCAACAGGTTGAGCGGATTGTCCAGTAATCGGAAGGTTGCAGGTTCGATCCTGGCTCCGGATTCTGCTGTTGTGTCCTTGGGCAAGGCACTTAGCCCACCTTGTCTGCTGGTGGTGGTCGGAGGGACCGGTGGCGCCTGTGCTCAGCAGCCTCGCCTCTGTCAGCGCGCCCCAGGGCAGCTGTGGCTACATAGTAGCTCATCGCCATCAGTGTGTGAATGTGTGTGTGAATGGATGAATGATACACTGTAGTGTAAAGCGCTTTGGAGTCCTTACTCTGAGTGGCGCTATACAAGTGCGGGTCATTATCATTTAGTTAACAGCAAGCTCTACAACATGGATGTTTTATCTCCACAAAAAACTCAAGCCTGAAGGAGTTCAGCCATTTTGTGGTGTTGCTAATGCTAACAATTAGCTTCAGCTAGTGGAGACTCTCCTGGACACTAAATGAACAACAGCTGTCCCATCACGATCCAAGATGGGTGAGTCCATGAATGCAAATTTTCAATTTGATGTAAAATTGACTGGCTTTTCAAATCCGAGCGTTTCCCTGTCTCTGTTCGGTGGGCGGCTAACGTAGGAAATTGGGGCAGATCGTTTAGCTTGCATGATGAAACTCGGGTCCTAATTCGAGAACAAATGAGAATGTTGCCTGTTAAGTGTGAATATATGATTTAACCAAAATGGATCATTTCTCATCATCAGATAATCTTGCTTTAAACATGAAAAGCAGCAAGTGATTTGATTTCCCTCGAATAACACAATAATTAAAGTTGATTTATTTATTTTGAAACGAAACATCAGTGCCAAGTAAGCGTTGTTGTTTCTTATGTGACTGAATGGTAATAAACCATAAATGAAATACAAACAAACCACTTTAGGTTTTTGAGTGGTTCAGATACGGTTTTATGTGTGTGTGTATATATGTTGATGGTGTGAACACAACTGAAGAGGAGATTTATGGCTCAGTGTGGGAACCTCTGACTTGTTTCATAGGCAACAGATTCAGCCATTTTCTTAGTCCTTTTTAAATCTTATTACAAACAGCATGATGAAAGTTTTGATACAGATTTATAAATTGGATATTTTTAGTCAGAACTGTTATTCGTTTACATTGTGAATATGAATAATTTACTAATTATGTTTCTTTTTCTCTAACCTTTAAATAAGAGAATCTATATAAAAAATCTTCTTGTATGAAACATTTTCACGGAGCTGGGACTTTCCTCCTGGGACTGTCTTCCTTATTGGTCATTTTTCACTCCAACATTTCCTGGTTACAAAATTGGTGTTAAGCCAGGTGGACGGTCCCACTGTCTGCAGGGTAAACACCACACAATCTGTTGACCATGTCCATGTTTTTCAAGTATGGGTCACTCAGCCATTGGCGGCTGAACGCGTTGAATTGGTTTCACACTATTAGTGTGAGTCAACAGTGAAATACTGACAGCCAGTTGACTTATTTCCATCTTTTCCATGGTTACAGAGCAGGAATAGGAAGTCCAATCAGAAATTTGCTTTACTCCTTCAACGTTTGGACCAACATAAAACATTTCGCTGATTGTTTCTCTTGTCAGCACCTCCCTTTTAGAGAAGCAGCAGCAGAAACGTGCCGGGAACGTCCTCTGTGATATTTAGCTGCTTGTCCGGATCATCGAACTGAGAGCGGGCTGGCTGCTGAGCCTCTGGTCTGCAGGGTGGATGGTTTCCTGAGGACAGCTGTCACATTCTCACTCAGGTTTTGAGCTGGTTTGAGCTGGTTTGACCTCAGTTGTGATTTTTGAGTTGTGTTTGTCAGCCGTTTCCTTCCAAGGGACTCTGTGGATATTATTTTTCTTTTTCATGGGTCCAATAGCTCAGGGTACATTGAGCAACACCGGTAGTCCATTAGGAGAACTTATCCCCCCTCTTCACACCTCCACCCCAGTACTCTCTACCCTTCATTGACCAATCAGCACCCAGGCGTGTGGCAGCTCTCCTGTGGGCTGCTCTGGGTAAACAGTGTCCACCTCTCTGTTTGTCAGTGCAAGTTACCTAAACATTTATCAGTAAGCATCTGGACAGCTGGGATCTGATCATGCATTAGGAATCTTCCAAATAAGATCCCCCCCTTCCTCCACGCTGTGCCGCCTCAGGGTTTCTGTACGATCCCAGGAGGAAGGCTTATGGTGCAATATTGCTTCACTCCAAGCCACAAGCACAGACGTAAAATACCCCCTTCTCCTCCCACCCCATATCTCCTCCTCCCGTGCTATGGGGACGTCACTCCCCTTGCTGTGGTGTACTGTATACTGGTTTTAGGGGCAGGGCAGGGGCAGATCCTATGAAACAACACTTGGGACAGAGGGGAGGAGTAAAGTTTCAGCTCAGTGCAGTTAACATGCTTGCACAGTGAGTGAGTGACTGTTCAGCAGGCAGCGGCTCGTCAGATCAGCACAAGTCGTCCAACTTGTACCTGCGTTTCTGGGTGCAGCTGCTCCACCTGAGGAAGGGAAGGCGCTGCAACTTCTCACAGCCTTTTCCTACTTCACCATCATTTCCATACATTGCTCTTCCAAGGTAGGGGCAAAACATCTGCTAATGTGTTTTTTGTGTTTTGCATGGGAATTCATGTCCCAGCCACAGATTGTTGTTTAGAAGGTGAAAAAAAAAACTTCTCCAACAAATTTAAACAAACAAAAAAAGAGCATAATTCTTTGTCATAAGGCAGATTTCTCACATGCATACACTGAATTGAATTCATTATCTCTGATCTTGGAGGTGCTACAATGCAGCCCACCTCATAATGTTAATAAGCTGTCACAACCAAAGCACGTGTCTGGATATAAAATCCACACTGTAAGGGACGGCTCTCCCTGGTCATTTGTGGTCAGACTGATCAGTTTCAAAAAGCCGTCTTGAGCTTAAACTGCAGGAATATTTCATCGTTTCATGACCGCCATCAGAGGATTTAAAAGAGGCTCTTTTACTTACAGGACAAAGACAACAAAATAAACATTTTGTAGTTTTTTTCTAACATCGTTTGGACTGAAAGCAACTGGAATGTTTTGTACTTTTACTCTGTTCATGCCCCCCCCCCCCCCCCCCCAATAAATGCAGCTCTTTGAGTACTCAGATCTGCACCATGACCCCAAACAATGGCGTTCAATGGGTCCCCAGTGTCTGAACTTTACCAACACTGCGGGACTTGGCAGCTCTCCTGAACACACGTCATAGTTTGTAAGGCTAAGATCCCTTTGTTTCACGTGTTATGTAACTGACATACTTCACCAGAACAAGCTGCAAAAGCAAAAAAAAGAAATAAAAATAATGCAAATTAGATGAAGAAACTGCACTGGAAAATTGTGTCTATTATTTCACAATTCAAGGAACTTCTGCCGAGTTGAAATATCCATGCATCATGTTTTTACTGTGTTCCAGTGTTCTGCACTCAGGCTTAGGAGGCGTAAGCAGTGCTGCTGCATTGACACTTCACCAAACTCAAACCATTCTAACCCTGGAGCATCAGATCAAACAGGTTTTTTAATTATTTTCTTAATTCTGCCTTTTGTCTGTCAGCAGGTGGCAACATGCTAAAGAAGGTTCTGTCATTCAGCCGCTCCTTAGTGCGCAGGAAAGTGGTCGACCTGAACAGCCTGGAGGACTCCAAGCTGTGCCGCTGCCTGGGAACCGTCGACCTCATCGCCTTGGGGGTGGGCAGCACCCTGGGCGCTGGTGTCTATGTCTTAGCTGGAGAGGTGGCCAAGGGCAACTCTGGTCCCAGCATTGTCATCTCCTTCCTCATCGCCGCCCTTGCCTCTGTCATGGCTGGCCTGTGTTATGCTGAATTTGGGGCCCGTGTCCCCAAGACCGGCTCTGCCTACCTGTACAGCTACGTGACCGTAGGGGAGATCTGGGCGTTCATTACAGGCTGGAATCTGATCCTGTCATATGTCATTGGTGAGTTTCAGAACATTTTTCTAGAGGTTTTCATTTCTAGAAGGAAGTTTCTTTACGGATTCTGTACGTTTTACCCTAACAGGTACATCTTCAGTTGCCAGAGCATGGAGTGGCACATTTGATGAAATGATCGGCGGACACATTGAGGTCTTCTGTAAAACCTACTTCAGCATGAACTATCCCGGTTTGGCTCCATACCCCGACTTCTTTGCTGTGTGCCTGATTCTACTGCTTTCTGGTGAGGGCGCACGCTAAAGAGAGGCTTCTGTGCATGAATGGAGACTAGAATTAGTACAAATCAACTCATGATTCATAGCCGACATAATCCAATAAGAAACTGGCTGGACTTTGTGCTACAAGGAGCCAGGAGGCACAAGTAAGCTGCAGGGTTGCTTGAGTTCAACTGGGGCACAGACATCTCACTCATCCAACAAATACCAGTTACAGCTAAGGGAAACCTGGAACAATTTCATGACATATTCAGTCAAATGTGAAGCTTCATTGACATCTTAGAGTGGCTTCAGTAGCTGTTATGCATTTAAAGTCAACCCTGTCATGGGTTTTATCTCCTGGTCTGCCAATTAAATGATTACATTAACTTTGTGGAAATCAATCCAGCAGCGTTTGGCCGTTTTTGCTAACAGCGGTCAAAGACTCTGCAGTTCAAATTCATCTGAAATAAAGATTTTCAGTTTTTTCAGTTCAGAGAAAAAATGTCAATTATTCTTGTACAGTGAGGTCTGTATAAAACAAAGCTGTTGATCTTTTACAGTGGAGAAGATAACAATTACAACCTATTCTGTTGTAGATAGCTTTAGAATTGGAGAACAGTGATCACCTCTGAACAGACTGATGAGCTAACAGCTAGTCCAATGGACCAAAACACATTTAAACATTTTTAAGGTTTGAGTTTTTTTTTTTTTTGTAAGATGACAACAATCCTCTCAGGCTCGTCTGCTAGCTGTTAGCTTTGCTGGTCCAAATTCACCTTCCCTGAGATGTTCAAAGACCTACCAACGGGTAATTTATTATTGTTTACAATCTTCCCAGAAACCATACCTTGAAAGACCAGATTTATCCATTTATTCAGGATAACTCGCTCACTCTTGGTTTTCTTGCACCACTATGGCCCTAGAGAGAATGGGTTACTTCAAACATACTTTATTTTCTGAAGTAATGGTAGCACTTAGCATATTGGGCCAAATCCTTTTGGAATCAAATGTGATTTTGGAGTAAACAAACATGGCAGAGGAAGAAGAATCTCCTCGCTCCATGCAGCGTACTTCTATCACCTCGGTTTGTGATTGGCTACACGTTGCATTCAACAGGCAGCACACTTGTTTGTTCTTGAAATCTGACCGAGATGTTTGATTGCCCAAGTCGTTATTCAAGCAGTACCGACATGGTTCTGAGCAGACCAGAGCACTCCTAACTCACCAAACCCAACAGGAATAGCATTTAGATCTATCACGATGATCGGGAAGAGAAGAATCGGGACCAGGCTTTAGATTTGTTCTGGTATCAACATGATTTAAACTTTATAATTAAAACAACTTAGCAGTCCTGAGACAGCAAGGCAAAATGATCCAAACTGATCATTAAAAAGTTAAAGTAGAACAATGTTCTGTTGTGTTTTCACTCATCCAGGACTCTTGTCATTCGGAGTAAAGGAATCCGCCTGGGTCAACAAGGTCTTCACCGCAGTCAACGTTCTTGTGCTCCTGTTTGTCATCATTTCCGGCTTTGTCAAAGGAGACACATGCAACTGGAAGATAAGTGAAGAATCCCTTGTCAACACCACCATAGTCACGAGGTAACCCATTCAGTTCCTATCAGCTGATCAATGCGCTGATGGTGTTCTTCCACGTCAGCATCTACAGATCAATACTGGGTTCATCTGATGTTGGGCAATGGTGGTATATGTTACAGGAACCTGTCAGAAACAGCCAATGTCAGCAGTGATTATGGTGTCGGAGGCTTCATGCCCTACGGATTCAGTGGGACGTTAGCCGGTGCGGCTACCTGCTTCTACGCTTTTGTTGGGTTTGACTGCATTGCAACAACAGGTGAGTTCTAGACGCAGCAGGTTATGGTTTAGAGTGAATCACCTCTATTTCTGCCTAATGTGGTAATTTTGTGTTAAACAGGTGAGGAGGTGAAGAATCCTCAGAGAGCCATTCCCATTGGGATCGTGGTGTCACTCACCGTGTGTTTCCTGGCCTACTTTGGTGTGTCTGCTGCACTCACCTTGATGATGCCTTACTACCTGCTGGATGAGAAGAGCCCTCTGCCCATGGCCTTTGAATATGTAGGCTGGGGCCCTGCTAAATATGTAGTGGCAGTGGGTTCACTGTGTGCCCTTTCCACCAGGTAACCCCACTTCTGGTTCTACAAACAAGTGTGGCGCATGAGCAAATGTTAGTTCAGTAAATATCCAGACAGTTAAATGTTGACACAGATGCTGTGAGTGGGTTAGATTTGGACAATCATTGTAACGATATCTACATTTGTCTTTTAATTGGATTGATTCATGTTGCTTAAAGGCATGTGGTGGGTGCATTGCTTAATTCTTTCTATTTTGAAACCCAAGCATGTTTGTCTGCTATGATCTATCGACAAGGTGTGGGGGTCACATCAAACCGCTGTGCCTTAATTTGCTCTTTCTTCCCTGCTGGTATCAGCTGCCCTTTGATTTTCTCTCTTCAGGGCGTCATTCCTCTGCTCATCTCCTGATATGTATTGAAAAAAACAATGTTATCAGACAAACTTGAATCAATTCCATTTGGGAAAAGTCCTGCAGTTGGACTTTTTGGTGTTCCTGAGTGGACAATTTGTCCTGATGAGCAAGATAACGCTTTCTGAAACTGCTTTAGCTCAATTTTTTTGTTGCTTGAAGTTAATGTTTACACTCTGATGACTAAGTCTCATGACCTCACTTACTCAGGAAATTCTTAGAAGAAGAAGAAAATATCATTTCTATAACGCCTCTCAAGATAAAAATCACGAGGCGCTTCACAAAAACAAAAATTGTAAAAATATTAAAAAATATTTAGAAATTGGTTAAAATATATTTAAAATGAGCAAAAAATAGACAATTGTGATAAAAAAAATGTTAGGAAAAAGAGAGAGTGAGTAGGAAAGAAGGAAATCAGTGGATCCTGAGGAAGGTGGAATAGGTGGGAGAGCAGAATAAAGGTTGGTTTATGCTTGACGCGTCCGCGAGGTCCGCATGGCTCCGCGCGGAAAAGTTGCGTCATTTTAACAGCCACGCCCCTCCACCGCGCCTCCGCACGGCCCAGAATTTCCGCAACGCACACCTCTGAAAATTTCTAACCACGCGGACGGACGGACGTGGAAAAACATGGCGGAGCGGTGGTAGTATGGCAGAGGTTCGTAAATACAACATTTGTATGATTCAGCTCTCAGAGATCACCGTGATCAACATGTTGTTAATAATTCTTGGAGAGAAATAGCTCGCACTGTCGGAAAAGACGAGGACGCTGTTAAAAATGCTGGAATGCCATGTTATAAACAACAGTAATTTTTACTTCTACTATGGTGTAGTGTTGGGTGCATGCAGTAGAGCTCCATGCTGCCCCCTACAGTTTGGGAGAATATTGGCTCACCGCAGAGACGAGCCGCACGAACCATAAACGCTGCGAGATGTGAAGCACGTTCCATCCGCGAGCCGCATCACCGCGCGGAAAGTGAATGCGTCAAGCATAAACCAAGCTTAAAGAGAGAGAGGTGAAGAAGGTCATACAAAAGCCACCTTGAACATGTGAGTCTTCGGCTGCATTTTGAAGAAGACCACTGAGTCCACTGATCTCAGGCTCAGGGGGAGAGAGGTCCAGAGTCTGGGGACCACAGCAGCAGATGATCTGTCACCTTTGACCTTTAGCCTGGTGCTGCACAACCAGTAGGCTTTGATCACTGGACCTCAGGGACCTGCTGGGGTGTAGGGACTAAGAAGATCACCAATGTAAGATGGTGCTTGTCCATGTAAGGCCCTATAGACCAGAACCAGGATCTTGAAATGAACCCTGAAGTTGACTGGCAGCCAGTGAAGCTGGAGGAGAAGCGGGGTGATGTGGGTGTGTTTGGAGGACTTGGTCAGAAGCCGAGCACAGGCGTTCTGAACCACCTGTAGACGGTTCAGGGAGGTTCTGCTCAGACACGTGAAAAGAGAGTTACAGTAGTCTAAGCGTGAGGAGATGAAGGTGTGGAGAAATGTCTCAAGTTCAGAGCGAGACAGAATGGGACTCAGCTTAGCAACGTTCCTGAGATGGAAGAAGGAAGAGCGAACAAGAGAACTGACATGAGAATCCAGGGTGAGAGCTGGGTCAAAGGTCACGCCAAGATTCCTGACAGAGGGTTTGGTGTGAGAAGCAAGCTGACCAAGAGAGTCTCTGACTTTGGGAACCAGCTTGTCTGGGGCACAGACGAGGATCTCAGTCTTATCTTCATTCAGCTGTAGAAAGCTCCCACCATCCAGGTTTTGATGGAGTCTAAGCAGGTGTGTAACAGCTGCAGCTTAGACATCTCATGGGGCTTAAAGGAGATGTACAGTTGGATGTCATCTGCATAAAGATGGTAGGAGATTCCTTTGAAGGAGCTCAGGATGTGCTGAAGAGGAAGCAGATAGAGGAGGAACAGCAGAGGCCCCAGCACAGAACCTTGTGGGACACCATGGGTGAGGGAGGTGGTGGAGGACCTAATCTTGTAGACGGCCACAGAGAAGGAGCGCTGAGAAAGATAAGAGGAGAACCACTCCAGAGCAGATCCTGATAGGCCTACCCAGTCTCTCAGCCTCTCCAGTAGCAGGTGATGGTCAACAGTGTCAAAGGCTGCAGTCAGGTCCAGCAGGACCAGAACAGAACAGTCCCCTGCATCACTGTGGGTCAGAAGGTCATTAGAGACCTTAAGAAGAGCTGTTTCAGTAGAATGAGCTTAGGACACCAAAGGTTTTCCACTCAGGGAACATGAAGTACTGTACATTTGGATGACGGAGGATGATATTACCAACAGGGAACAAAGACACGTTTGACTGACATTGTTCTGAAGCTCTAATGATATCTCTGTCTGTTTCTGATTGTGTGTTTGGGGCTCTGGACTAATGTGTTGGTGTTGCATGTCTCTACTACTGTCTCATGCAGTCTGCTGGGCTCCATTTTCCCCATGCCTCGTGTAATCTATGCTATGGCACAGGATGGGGTGCTTTTCAAAGCCTTAGCCCGAATCAATCCTAAGACGAAGACCCCAGTTATCGCCACTATGACCTCCGGTGTAGTTGCAGGTGAGACCCGGGGGAGAAATGTGATAATTCAGCTAATTTTTTTCCACCAATCAATTGTGAAAAAACAATGAAATCACAAGAGAAGAATCAACCAGGCGTTGTCTAATTGAATCTGCACTTTCAGGCCTAAACGATGTAGTCCAGGAGTTGTTTGCTTCATCTCACCTCGTTGTTCTTTCACAGTTGTGCAGGTGTCATGTTTTCTTTCCCAGAATCCCCTCAGCTTAACCATGACCCCTCTTCTCTCTAGCCTGTTGGGCTCCATGTTCCCTCTGCCACGCATTCTCTTTGCCATGGCACGAGATGGTATTCTGTTCAAATTTATGTCCAAAGTGAGTAAGCGCCAGTCGCCTGTGGCTGCCACCATGGCAGCTGGTATCACAGCGGGTAAGCTTCCAGACAAGGACTCGCCTACCACTGGGTTGTATTGTGGACTTATTTGACTACTGATTTTCTTTTATTTTTTATTTTTTCCCCTTTTCTACTTGTGCTCATTTGGTGGCGATGGTTGCATGATCTTGGTGATGATGTTTCCAAAAGCATGCGGAGCAAAGACTAACTAAACTCAATATTAGAAATCTTTAAAAAGTCCAAACGCAGAAACGTTTGTTGGCACCTGGCAACTGACAAACGTTCCGTGACGTTCCTTAAAGAAGGTCCAAGAAATCAAAACCACAATTAACTTGTTGAATATGGGCAGCTTGGAGCGTCAAATGTACCAAACCGAAATGCCTGTGCCTTCTTTGACCCGCTCTCCTATTCAAATTACAGATTTGCTTGTGGCTGTGGAGAAACAGTTCATTCTGAGAAAAGCTGGTGTAACACTGACACACCCTTAAATCTGCATGTCCCAACCCACTTGGCAGTAATGCTACCTATGGAACAACACTAGCCCAAGCTACTGCTAACACTACCCAGAGTTAGCTACTTACTAACTTGTAAGATGAGAAGAAAACAACAAAGTACGCTGTCGGAACAGCACGTTCCGGAATGTACTGGGAAAAGCATGCTGGTGAAGGATCTCAGTCATTCAGGTCATGGTAATCCAAAGGGGTTTGAATGAAGGCAACTGGACTTCTTTGGTTTCTCAGCTGCTCATCCATCAGCTTTGTCAATTCTGGCTTGAATGTCGGAGGGTCAAGCTTATAAACTGTCTATTGTTGCTTAACGGGAAAAAACTACCCTATGCGTACCCCTCCTCCCTACCTCCTGAGTAGTCGACTGAGTCGGTAGTCTCTATTGCGTGGGAGTCGTATTGATTAGATGTATTAGGGTGTGACTTAAACTGAAACTGTTTGGGAATAAGATTCAGAGCTGCATTATACATGCTGGAAAGGTAAAACCCAAGTCTTCCTTCCCTGTTTAATGTAAGTTTTTCCTGTTTGACATATATGGCATCCTTTACTCCTCTCTCAAACCATCTATCTTCTCTGTCCAGAATGTGTAGTTTGCCATCTTCAGATATGTGTCCCTTGTCCTTCAGGTGTAAGTGAACTGCAGAGGCCTGACCTGAAGAGGTGGCTCTCCTGTGTTGCGCCATGCGCTTGCGTAGTTGTTTAGTTTCCCCTCTGTCAAGATCTGGACAGTCTTCACTGCATTGAACTGCTTAAATAACACCATTAAGCTTCTGTTTTGAGTGTTCTGTCTTTTGGATGGACCAGTTTCTGTCTGAGGGTGTTGTTGGGTTTAAAGTAAACCGGGATGTTGTGTTTGGAGACAATTCTTCTTAGTCTCAGAGAAACTGAAGAGAAGCAAAACCTCTTCAAGAAACCAAAGACGTCCAGTTGCTCTTTGGATTAATGGGAATAACCAGACTTTTAATGAGTGCCAGGTAGATCCATAGCTTGCCTGTTCAGTTATCCGGATGCTGAATAGCTGTACAGTGTTACGAGCTTCAGGCTGTATCACAGACCCATTGAGGTAAACTGGCAATCAGTATGCAGCTCATTTACAATTCATGCCCCGGCAGAGTGGGAGGGGTGAAGGGGTCTTTACATTGCAGGGCATTACTATGGGGTTGTAAGTGGCCAATTATCAGGTCATCCTGGGCAATTTTGAGCCCTAAGTTTCATGTGATATATATAGAGGCTCAAAAACAGTTCTAATGGACAATTTCATACCTTCATGAGCACAATGCACTAGGTGTCTTGGGATTGCAGGGTGGTGTCTACACTCAGCAATTTTCAGATCTTTCTGTAGATGTTTAACAAGGTTAAGATTCATTTGAGAATAATCTGGTCTTTGTTTTTAAGCTCTTTTAGCTGTGTGTATAAACTCATTATCTAATTGGCGGATCCATGACCTGCTACAGGAGACAGAACATTCCGACATAGTGCACAATTTTTATTTTATTATTTTGGTAGCTTTTAGACTTAATCGTACCCTGCACAGATTCCCGGTATAAGATACAGTCATTTTTCCTGAGAACAATATAAAGTAAAGCTATCTCATTTTGGAAAGGCTTAATTTTTCTTTCAGGAGAAATAGAGCTGAAGGGATCAGTCAAAATCTTCCTGCTTTGTCTCAGTTGTTTTTTCAACAAGCATTTTTGAAATGCAGCAGGTGGGATCAGAAAGGGACCTTTAGCTTGAAGAGTTGTGGACGGCTTACTTGGCTCATTTTCTACTATCTGTACTATCCATCTAATCTAATCAATCACATGCTGCATTTCCTCTTGTATCCCTGTTCTGGGAGGCTAGATACAATCCTATGCACATTGTACCACAGCAGCTGTGGTCGGAGGACCACTCATTCTACTTAGAGATAGTCTTGGAGCCTTTACCTTTAACATGGAACTCCAACTGCTTCTTCTACCTCATAGCATGTTGCTGGTTCCCTTTAAATCAGCTGCATGGCTGATGGTAAGCTTGAAGGAACCAAAGATACTATAGATACTATAGGGTTCAACACTTCAGTTTCAACAGGCAGCGCGCTTGTTTGTCCTCATGGCATACCTCACGTGCTACGATATTGGATAAAAAAATCCAGCGTGTTGAAAATCCTTGATTTTATGATCAAGCATATCAAAGTGCTCTTAACACTTCAACACAGCGGAAATATATGATACACTTTTTTTGAGCCAATATGATAATCAGTGTCCTTCAGATGGTCGAAAAGAGAACTGCGTCAAAATATGCATAATTATCTTACTTACGTGTGAACTGAGCCACTTTAGACTGAATCATGACAAACAAATTGCTTCACTGAGCTGTGGAGGACCAACAAATTGGTCTGCTTCTGTGTGACTTTTAAACCTCACGGGTTCACAAATCCAACTGGATTTTAGTCTTTTTTCATAGAAAACTGGACAGAAATAACGAATTATTAACAAACCGAATCACTTTGATTTAAAAAAAGCTGACCAAAATATGATTGTAACACCATTTCAAGAAATCAGTTATTTAGGCGAATGTTTTCATTGTTACACAACTTTTGGGGATTTTACATTTTAACTACAGCAGAAATTATTTCATTTAGGCTGGTAATTGGGTTTGTTGTGATTATGTGATATTGTTAAATCCTTTTCTTGAGCCAGTATGTGCTAAAATGACACTTAACAGGGTTAATGAAATGCCCTCCAGCCCTATCGCTCCCTGTGGCCAGAAAATTCCTCATGCAAATTCAGACTGGCTCTGTTGGGACTTGTAAAAACTGCAGCTGACATACCTGGCACAGCAGTCTGCTTCCAGCATGTTTCCTGCATGTTTTAGGTCATGAACACAGCTGATTTGTTTAGTTCAGTGATGAATCACTCATGTAGACACTAAAAAAGGCTGGGAGGCATTTCAGCTGTCAAATGAAGGTGTTAAAAAGATGAACGCACAGCGAGGAGATAGGTTTTGCTTTCGGTTCTACAAACTGACACTAGGGGGTGCTAAAAGCAAGCCAAAACTGCCTATACTGCCTATTGTGGACTATTATCACATAGCCTTTTCTTCTAGTCAAAACTGAGATGTATTAGGCTTACCTGTGCAGTTTTGTGTGATAATAAGCAAATGTTTGCATTTCCAACTCTCAAAGCTAGATTAAAAATGAAAATGCGTGTTCTGGACATAATTTAATAGTATCATAACATAGCACTACCATTAAGTACATTTCAGTCAGCTCATTTTAGCTTTGTGCACGACTCGCAGGCTGTTTTTATACCTGCAACATGACAACGCTGACAAAATTTAACATTTTAAAGTTTGACAGTTAGCTTACTTTGCTCCATGCTAGCTAGTAGGCCTATAGCAGAAAAACTGTTCCTCCAAAATGTCTGAAAAAAAGCTTGAAATGTTAACAAATGAAGCAAATGATTTTTTTTAAAAGATTTTAGGTTACATGTTGGATTCTCCTGTTGCCTGGTGACAGGTTTGTCCTGATTCTCGCATTTGAATGATTTTAGCAGCATAGATGTTAGCATTTTGTGACTTCATGCTACATGTCAGCTTGAAAGTTGTTCCAAATAGGCTATAATTGTTTTAAATCCACTGGTGTTTTGTAGAACGTGAATACTAAAGTGCAGCCGGGAGTACCACACCGAGCCCAGGAGTGGTTTTACTTCTTTGGTTTGAACCAAATCTTGAACCAATCACTGATTTCTCTTTGAACAACGGACAAATACAATAACTAGACAGAATAACATAAGTTAAAATGAGTACCTGAAATGCCTCTTAGGGCAAGGTTGCAGTATGACTTTTAAAGACATCCCTGAACTTTGCGATAATATGCTCTCTGTCCTACAGGTCTTTGACCGTGAAACCAGTCTGGAGGTTTGGGTGCAGGTGCTTGAAGTAGTTGATCCTTTCCCAGCGTGTCTTCTTCGCTGTGTCCTGTTGTAGTTGCGTCCAGGGGGTCGTCAGCCGAGGTGGATGCAGGTTACGTTGTCATGTAGATGTGCGGTCAGCGAGGAGCCCCAACCCGTCGTTCAGTTCCAGTTCTAGTACCCCCTCAAATGCTGCTGTCTCAGTTGTTCCATCAGGTGCTGAGAGGCGGCCCAAGTGCAGGGCCATGAGTGC